CCCGATATTTAATGGGGTGAGCTCGCAGAGATCCCATCCGCAGGGGTTAGCTGGTTTCCCTGCCAGGCTGCCGCTTCTCACGTGGGAACGTAATCGCCTTCCCATTCCCTGCCCTGCAAAGCCTCCTCAAAGCTGGTGAACAGGTTAGAAAGGGACGGGATGGGACAGATCCGATGACTTAAAGGGAGGCTTGGAAAACCAGGCTAGAGTTCAGGTGAGTCACAGACCAGGCACCAAAATTCTGCCTCTGTCTTCTCCGCTCCCTCCCATCGGGTGTTTCCATGCATTGAATCAAAACATAGTGTTTTACATGCAGATAATACGGGCTAAAGAAATCCATCACAACCTGTTTGCACAGTACAAGCTCTTCCAAGGCGTCATGTTTTTGTGAGTGGCATCTCAATTGTAGTTTGAATCCAACGCATTGGATTATATCCTTTTACATATTCCAGAGCCTTTATGTATTTGGTTTTAAACTGTTGGACTAACGATGCCCTCTTACCCATGCTCAAATAAAAACACAAGAAGGAAAGTTAAATAAAAAGCAATTTCAACACTTGATCAAATAGTTATTTTCTCCCTTCTAAAATGGCTGCCTGATTATAATTAAAAATGTTTTGAAATAGACCCACTCTGTTTCAGCTGGGACTTTTGCAAACTTTTTGCACAAATAGGAACCAAGTATCATTCTTTTCACACCAAAACCTTCAGCACCCTTCACTGTATTATCACACAGGCCTGGGCAAGCGCACAGACCCAGAGTCTCCATCTGAAATGCTAAAAGCTACAGAAATTCAACTTCCAGAGGAGTTCCAGTGACCACAAATGATGCCGCAGGGAAACAGAGCACCCAGTGGTTCACAGCCTACTGACCCACCAGCCAGGAGAGATCCAGACCTTTCCATTGTTCACAGCCTCTGTTTCTCCAAGAGCTGCTTGTCTTTTTTTTTTTTGCTCCTTCCCATGGCAAGTACACCAAAGTACCCCACCACCCTTAAAAACCGACAGGTAACCGTGACCCCAGGTCTACTGATGGACTTCTGGCAAGGTTTTGCTTCAGTCTGAACCACTCTCCCTTTGAGGACACCTGCCTGCCTTCCTTTAAAGCTCAATGCAAGCATAAAATCTGAGCTAATCAAATTATTTATCCATCACTTGCAGAGCTGGTGTCCAAGGACCAAAACCACAGGAGCAAAGCTCTGCAAACCCTGCATGGACTCAGGTTCTCAACCTTCTGCTTTCCATACAGCTGAAGAGACAAAATTTCAGGCAAAGAGCTTACATCCCAGTCACCCCCCCCCCCCCCCCCCCCATGGAAAGCAAAGGCACAACTAATAAAGAAGAGTCCACACTGTAGTTAAAGAACTTTTTAGTCTTCAAGGTTTTAATTTAAACAGACGTTTCTACTGTTCTCAGCATATCTACAGCAAAGTTTACAGCCACTTTGTATCTGTTTTTCTCCCCCCAAATGGCTAAGCAATTTGAGCCATGATAGTTTCTCATATTTGTTGCCTTTTTTTCTTTTTTCTTCAGTATATTCAACACTACAGCAGCTGGGATTCTGTACACATACAGCATACATCTAACAACAGCACACAACTCCCAGCCCTGTTATTTATTTCATTAAAAAAAAAAATTAGTCAAGACTGATGCAGCAGCCAAGTCCAATTAGCAATTCCAGATGTTTGGACAGAAGTGCACTCATCGCTTAAATTGGTACTAGTTAACAGATACATAGCACACATCACACAGTGCTATTCAGTGTCACGCAGTTACAAAAAGGGAGCGCTAGCATAGATGTTTTGCCCTCCTACAGGAGCCTGTACATGATAGCACTTTCCAAGGCTTTAGCAAAGCATACATTAGACACCAATATGCTGTACAGTGCAATTTAAGTTATATCATATGCAACATGGACAATAGTGCACTTAAACCAGTCGCCACATTCAAGAGTTAGATCAATACAATCAAAATATTGAAGATACATATTCCCTTATGAAAACTGTGCAAGTTAGTTCCTTTTTCCCTTTTCTTTTTTTGATAAATGGCAGAGCGTCCGCAGTGATTGACCCCAGAGTTTGAGGAAGGGAGCCCTCAGTGTCCAGCTTATTACACAAAGAGCTATGTGCAAAAGAGCAGAAGCAGGGGTGTCAGCAAGAGTGTAAGGCAGCGTCAGACTGAAGAGCTCACAGCTGGGCACCGCCACAGTGCTTGCAGCTCAGGAAGATGCAGGTAACCTGCAAACGGTGTCATGACTTCACGTGGCAGAGTCCAGCAGACATCCCCCTCTAAGAGGAAACGAGCCCATCATCAGTATTAAATATGTGAATAAATACAGTGGGCACACAGGTAAGCAAAGAACTGAAGTGCTCTGCTGTGTGTTACACCAGTAGCCACCAGACTGGAGCCTGGGAAGCAATGGGAATGAAAAGGTTAAAAGAGAAGGTGCAAATAGCCTGACACAAGAGGTCTGTGAAGTATCTTCTCCCAGGAGGGCCTGCAAGGCTCCACCCATCTTGTCTCAACTCCATGAGGTGCAATACCTTGCAGGACTGCTCCAAGTAACATCTCATGAAGGTGACTGTTTGCAGGTTAACTTTAGCCTCCAGCTCCTGCTGTTTGCAGTGGATACAAGGCGATGCACAGCAGAGGAACGGGGGAAGAAACTGCTGTGGCTGCTCAGAACGACACTAGCATTTTCACATGAAGGCTGCGATCCATGCTACTGCTAAGCCAAGCCAAGGACACAGCACTTGGGTGTGAATTCAGTCCTGAAACACAAGCTGAGGATGAAATGCCAGCTCAGAGAGAATTTTCTGCCTTTTGTTAGCTGTCACAGCTGGTTACCCAATCTCCTCACAGATGCCTGCAGTTTGCATGAGAGACTAGAGCAGCCAGGCAATTAGATCAAAAACCCTCTTTGCTTCTCTATTATTTAGCTCAATATATAATTACTACGTTAGGAAATTGCATAACCTTTAAGTGTGTTTTATGTATAGTCTATTATGGGGAAAATAGTGCCTTCTGATTCCTTCCCATCTGGCTAGTGATAATGCATTTCAGATGTACAGGAACAGTAGAAATTCTAAATTGGATAGGGAAACAACATCCAGGCAGGTGCGGATCCCACAGATATAATTTTGAAGGGTGAGCAATAATTTTAAGGGCTTACATTTGCAATATACCCAGAAGATAGCTCCAGAAGCCAGTGTTTGGAGGTGGGAGGAAAGCATGGCCAACTCGTGCCTCTCCTGTTACGCGGTACAGATCACCAGCCACCCTGAGAAGCATTCCTTATGTCAGACTTGATTTACTGAACAAGATTGTCACTCTCCTAATCTAGAAAGAAACTGGTATTACAAGTAGAGGGAATTAATCTTCTGCTTAAGTGAATAACTGTTTAAAAGGGACCTTTTCATTTTTTAAGCCAGATGACTTTAGGACTAAGTTTAGGTTACTCAAGAAGAAAACAATTAAGGAAATAAGGACTGAGGAAAAAGGCATTAAGATAGCCCTTCATCACTATCACATAATTTTAGAGTTTCCTTGGTTATAGAACTTTTTTTTAGAATATATTTAGTGGTTACAAGATTTTTGCAGATTACTCTCCAGATACTTCAACTAAAGATCCTCCATTATCACATCTATCCATCTTTACATGAAGTGGCTTTTAAACAAAGGCAGCTTCATTCCAAAACAGCATGAATTGTCACAGAAGCTCAACAGTTTCCACAGAGATCAAGACTGACCTAAGGCAGCTCCATCCATTTCAGTAGGAACAGGCTAACAGCAAGCGCCTTTGAAGATAATCCCAGCCACACACGCTGTTGTTAATTCAAGTCTTCTCAGCCACGTAGAGCTAACAATGGAATCAAGCTGAACAAGTGTCTAGGTGAGTCAATATTTCAGACCCACTTGTACCTAGCTTTTCAAAGGAGAAAGTCTCTAGCAAAAAGTCCGATTTCATACAAAGAGCAGATTGCAGCCACGGAAACACAAAGATCAGCTACAAAATGCAGAGTTACTTGGAAAAAAGCTTATCCCTAAAGTCTTTAAGCAGTTTTAGCAGCTACAAACGATCTAAACTATTAGCATTATTGTAGTGTGATGGCCTCTTAATCTGCAGCAGCTACCTGATGTGTTAGATCACCTTAACTTCCAACTTCTGCTTCTGATGTTACACAGAATGTATAGTGAGAGCATGAAAGGAAAAAGTGCACCAGGTGGAGCAAAAGTGTTTTGTTGAGCGGTAGATTAAGTGCTGGTCTTGCACCCTTGCAGTGCTGTAAACTTGTTCAAGTGCACAAACCTGGCACTGGCAAACACTGGCAAAATCAGCCAGTGCAGTTCCATGTTTCAAGAGGGCAGCCTGGCTCTAGTTAAAAATACAGCTCTGAGCCACTGCTTTGTAAGTGAACACCTCTGCCAACTATTTAACCTTTGTTTTCCAGGTAGAATTTTAAAAAGTTTGTTATTCCTTAGGAGATAGTTGTCCATGAGGCACAATTCCACCTGAAGGTCATGGCTTAAACATTAGCAGCAGAATCCCTACTTCAGTTCTGTATTGCACTGAAATTTCTTGCTCTGGTTTGGTATTCAGCTTACTGCTCCCAAGCCAATGCTTAACACAAAAACCCAAGTGTTAGACATGAAGGCTACTGAGAGTATCATATAGACTGGCAGAACCTGTAGTTAGATTATACCATTTTCTAGTTTTTCTAGGAAACTAAAGAACTAAGCTGCCTTACTTACTCTTGGAGAGAAAAGGTGCTTTCAGACAAAATGCCTTTACCAATCTGTCCATAACTTTGCATTTTAAATCCTGCCGAGTGTTTAGAGAGTTGAACAAAACCAGAAAAAAAAAAGTCCAAAATAAATTTGAAACATGCTGTCTCTTGGCCCATCCTGGTCATCCATACAGTTAGGTGGAGGTAAGAGTTCCGGCTTCTGCTGACACGCACACAATTTTGAGACAGGAAAGCTGCCAAGAGAGGACACTATGCCCAGTTGTGTATGTCTTCTGTAAACAAAACAGAAATCCCTCCCAAAAAGCAAGGAGGTAGTGTGAAGTGAAGGTTTCAGCAGTGGGAGGACTGAGGGTCAGCTGTACCCGGAGGGCTCTGCAATACATGCACTTTCCATGTTTAGTCTTTAACGTAAAGGGGACTGGAAAGGGAAGCCCTGCCATCTCACAGGTTCTCCTGCATCCTATCATCTGTTTCCATCTCTGCTAGCTGCCTCCTCAATGCATTAACCTTTGCCTGAAGTTCCTTGTTGTATTTTATAATGCTGATCATTTCTTCATGGGCTTCGTCTAGGAACTTGGAAGGCCTGTTCCACCGAAGAAAGACACCTGAAAGCCCAGAGACAGCACAAGTCAGGAGGGTTTCTTGTTACAAGGGGGAAACATTCATATTCCATCAGCTCTCAAGTAACATGCATACAGTTTATGCATTTTTTCCTTACCCTCCCTCCTAAATAGCATTTAGAAATACCAATCCTCCTCTCCAAGTTCACCATTCTATTAAACAAAGTTAATAAAGAAAAAATGAGGGGGTTTTATTCCTTTTTTCTCATATACTGATCAGACCAACCCATATTCAGTCTCCACCATGCCATGACAGCCTGCTTGCTTCACTGGAATTAACTTTTTCTCCATCTCATGTATACTGAAGAGTTTCTGCAGCAGGAAACCTACTGCGCACAGACCATCCTGGCCAACAGTTGGTAATGGAGAAAGAGAAGTCTTGGCTGATATAAAACAAAAACCTTAGTTCTGCAGAACAGATTAGACTACATCACTGCAGAAATACTGTGCTAAGAAGTTAAATGGTACTAAGAAGGCTCTACCAACCCTTAGAAGCAGAAAGCATTATGTCTCTGGGGATGGTACCTACCAAAAATACTTTGGAACAGATCTCAAAGGGAGTGAGATCACCATCAGCTGAGGCAAGACTAAGCACATAGAAGAGACAGAGGTGAACACTTAAGAAGCTTTACAAGTAGCCACAATATATGTATTGCCTATAATAGGAAAACCAAACTTGGCTTACCTTCCCAGAGCTGCAGGCTCTGTGGGGCAACGGAGGGCCAGATGACAAGGCTGTTGGCCTCAAAAAGAGGATTCTGGAATTTGCTCAGCTCTTCAGACCTGTTCACCCAGGACCACAGGGACATAGTCTTTTGCAGCAGCTTCAGTTTAGACCTAAAAAACCCGTAAGAACAAGTTAGCTTTCACTTTTATACTGTAAAAGCTCATTTTGTTTTGTCAGAACCCCACAGACTAGAATGCCACAAGCCTTCCCATGTGCTACCAGTCCAGACAATTCAGGCTAATCCCTTCAATACCTTTCACCAACATGGTACAGGGTGTAAACCTAAAGCAATTTACTCAATCTGGCTCCTTACAATTAGTTTTGAAGAAAAGGTGAGGAAATAAGATTTGTAAGTTGGGTGGAAGCTAGCTGCCTTCTGTCTAGATGAATAATCAGTCACCTCCCCAAAATAGTTCAGCTGGCAGGTTTTGAAAGGGACCGAGATCCTGTGTTAAGATAGAGCTGGGAGGTGTGGTAGGTCTGCATCAAGGAAAGATCGTCGTGCAATTCTCCGGGTACTTTAAAGCAATATTATCGCTGGAATTGTGCAAGGGGCACATCTGATTAGGTCCCTCTGGTGGCAGGAAGCATCAGACAGAGACGAAGCAGCGCTGTGTTCCTGGGTCAAACCCACCCCCAGGAGTTACAGAGGGGTCTCTATTCCATAGATTCTGGTAAACCTCATTCTGCTTGCACTAGCAAATTGAACTGCCACCCAGGCAGGAGATTCACCATCCCTGTGAATACTTCAGACAGCACAAGCTTAACATCAGACTTCAAACGTTTTCTGTTCTCACAGGCTGACATATTCAGATGTGACAGGCAGGTTACATGTAACATTCAATACTCTTTCAAATTTCATCTTATTGGTTTCAAGTCTAACTTGGTTTTGCAGATCACCAGTTCAGCAGCCCTGCAGAAAACAGAAGAGTTACTTCTAAGCAAAGATTACTTTTAGGGCACAGAGGTTTATAGGGAGCTCTAAATTGCCCTTCTTCTCTGTAATATCAGCTCTGTTTTTCCCTTCTACTCCTTCATTGTTCTTCAGCTAAGCAGGAGATCATCAGACAGTCTTACTGGAGCCAGGAGTACTGAGAACAGAACTCAGGACAAGTTCAAAACAGGAATCCAAACCTCTCTGGCAGCTGCCATCTGCCGTGAGAGGCTCTCATCCTCCCCTCTCCACCCTGTTTACTACTCCCAGCAGCTCTACTTGGGGCATGCCCAGAGCTGCCCCCCGGTACAGCACAGCACCTACACCAGACTAGGACTGAGAAGCTAGGTGTTGGTCTGCTCAAGTACCTTAAAGGCCACAAGCTCGTCAGCAAGCTTAGCACAGGCCTGTCATTACCTGACAGGGCAGACTCCAGCAGAATGCACTCCTGGCTGCTTCCGTTCACAGTTGGATCCATCTGAGAGTTCACAGCATTTGCTCAGAACCTCAGCCAGTGCAGATTGCCAATTCACATTTCTCCAAGTCAGAGGTTACGGCTGGAGGGACTTTTGGTCCTTCTGTTGGGAGTTATACTACTGCATGGCCAAAAAGGCCTCAAACCTAATCGTGATGCTCGCAGCCAAACAATCAAAGCTTTTTGCAAGGTGTAACTAACTGTGAGGCAGATCCTTCTGAAAGAAGCTCTTCCATGTTTCCAACTTCAGCAGTTAATGGATGATGCAAAAAACAAAGCCTTCCTTTCCTGGGAGCATTGGGACCACCAGGCAACAAAGTCATGTTCTTACCCAACAGCTAAGGTAAGAACCAGACTTCCAGCTTTGGCCTCTGACTGCCTTGACCTTCTCCTCCAGGCCTGCGTGGACAAGTTTGCTTCCCACAGCTATGATTCACATCACTGTTGAACTCTAGGTTTTTTTTTTATGGAAAGAGTTTCTGTGTAAGAGACTATATAAACTGGTGATGGGTGGAGATTGTTTTCAAGGCCACACAGGAAACAGAAAAGACAGTCTAAGGTATTAGCTTGGACTTGGAGAAGACTAATTCAACACACAGTATCCCACTTCCAAGGGGGACAACGTCTGTAACATTGCAACAGACTACATAACTGCAACAAGAGAAGCTCACCTGTGCTAGGGGAGACCACACAAGCACCCTCACCCTTTTTCAAACCTCAAACCAAGACAACATGTAGGTTTTTTTAGTCTGATACAGCCCAATATTTAAAGAGTTCAAAGCAAGCATCCTCACCAACCTTTCATTTTCGTTGTTTCCCAGGAAAGTCCCAAACTGTGAAGCGTAAGCATGTTCAAAGAGCATAATGAGGAACTGTTCGTTGAATTCAAAAGAGCAAGGGAACTGACGAAGGATTTGCCACACACAGTCCAAAAAGAGGAGAAACACTGGGGCCTCCCATTTCTGCTTGCTATTTGAATAGGCTGATTGGGCACAGCGCTGCTGGAAAGGGTGACCAGCCTATACATAAGAATCAGAGAGAACATCACATAGAAAGCAGTGGGATGTGAGTACATGTTGCAAAAAGACTTCAGAGCTAGTTCTGTCCACGCAACTATGCAATTACTACTCTTTTCTACAACCATAATTTTGTAAACCATCCGGTAACAAATTGCTAGCAACCACGACTAACTTTGCTGCCTTTTTGGGGCTATGTAAACAGCACTGCATTTGAGCAGAGGATTTTACCAAGAACAAACTTGCCTAAGTGCACCGAAGGACCAGGCTGAGGAGATTTGCTGCAAGAGTACAAAGAGTAGAACTAATAAGGTTTTGTGGTTTAGCCAGAGCAGTGTTCTCAAAAAAGATGTTCACCCTGAGCACACAAAACAGGCAGTTCCCCGAAACCAAAGAACTACCATGAGAGGCAGAGGCCCCACAGAGGTACAAATGACTCAGTAACGATGCTGCTCTTCGGACGAAGGCCATTCACACTAAGCAGGGCTGCAACAAGGCCCAACCTGTTTGCTGCCTCTCGGGCTGTTTCTCAATACAACTGTCACTGGACTAGACTGCCATTTTGTCCATAGACATTTCTTACCTGTAGCCACTCCCTCACAACAAGAGATTCAAAGCCACGTATGGTCCTGCATCTTGGATCCAAGATAATCTGTGCCAGAGAAGTTACCTGGAGCGTTGAATCAGTTCCTTCAGTCCCATGGACTAGCACTGATGCACCTTCCCTGGGAGAAAGGTAGAAAGGAGTAAGAGTGTGAATGAGCAGAACACATCCCAAGGACATCTACATCCCAAGGGATGCCATTACATCCCATGGACACCAGTGTCACTACCCTGACAATGCTGAGGTTTTGCTGGCTCTTTACTCCTCCTTCCCCACATGGATGCATACACCACCATCTCCACCCAGATCCTCACCAACATTAACCAGAGCTCTGCATCACCTAAGGCTTAGTTTCTTGCAAAGCATGCTGGAAATCCAGACCCTTTGCCACAATGATGGAAGATGTCTTCTGGGGTTCTCACTGCTTTGAATTGGTACCTCTTTGAGTTATAGCATCTCAAAATATGATTGTGTCATTTATTGTTTTGCTAAGTACTCTGAAATCTTCCCATAAGAACTGCAGTAAAGCCCTAACATCCCCCAGATGCTCTGCAAAACAATACCATGGGATTCATGCTCAAACCTAGGCTTAATTGTATTTGGGCCTCAATCAGTGTTTTCTGCTTTAAGAATAAGCCACTAAGCCAGTTCAGCAGAAAGAAAGAAATGACAGACTTGGCCGCCATAAAGGCAGAAGAGTTGGTGTGCTGAGCAAGGCAGCTTGTCAAAGAGCCAAGCACAAAGGCTTCTCACTCACCCGCCAGCACAAGTGAATCAGCAGAACAACGTGAGGAGCAGAGGGAGCTCGGTCTGGGGCAGGAAGGTTTTGCACATTGCTAGGGCCCACTCCAGTGGGGACTGTCCAGGACAGCTGATTCCCTCCCCTCTTCCTCCATCCTAGGCTGTGTTTGGATACAGTATCAGAATCTCATCCACGTGCTCCCAAGGGAAGGACTGGATGCGTGGTATTACACGGAATTTATACCCCTTACTCTTCCCAAATCTTGACCCAACATCTCATTTCTGCCAATACCCTCACACCCAGAAAGGAAATTAACTGCAGGTTGTATTTCTTTCAGTGCAGAGACCCAACGTAAGCAGCAACGTGTGGGCAAGAAAGATCAATCTACCAAGCAAGTAACCCTGCACGTTACTTGCTTTTTTGAACTTAAAAGCATAAATATCTACATCTTGAACATTGCAACATCTTTGTCTATAGTCCTATGTCTAAAACAAACCCAGTGCCTCTATGATATAGATAATCTTCAGATACTTTCTCTCCTCCTCCCCCAGGCAGGGGGAGATAAAGAGGCTGCTTAACAGACAAGCACAATTGCCAAGGCTAACTGCAAGCCTATGCACTTCCCAAAGTGGGCACACCAGGATAACACTACTTTCACCTTTCATTTTTTCAGGCCCCAGACCTTTAAGGTGCTGCAAGAGCTGTCCCATCTATTCCCTCCCTGCGGCCAATATAACTGAACCATCCTCGTCAGCTCAGCTACCATCTCCAGGCTCCAATTGAGACAGGCCAGGCACCAATGCTGAGTTGGCCTGACATGGCTCCACATAAACAGGAGAAAAAAAAAAAGCAAAGCTGGGGTTAAAAATGATGAAATTTCCCACTGTCACAACAAGCCAGAAGAGTTTCGTCACAAACCTTTCTCATTATACACATGCGGGAAAGGATTACAGATAAAACTATTGATCAAGAGCAATCCTTTTCTGGCACAGTCAATAACTAAACAGGCACCGTCAGTGCTTTCAAAGAGCACAGCAGCTCATATTTTTATGCATTAATGCTGTTTTAACAACGAGACTGGACTTCAGCCTACTTGTGTATCTGTAGAATACATTCCTTAGCTGATAGGAAAAGCTAGGTTTTCCCTGAGTTTGGAGAAGGGCTTGCTCCTCTCAGGGACACAAAGAAAATCACATTTAGACCCCTGCATTTGGGCTTACAAACCCTGGCACCTGACAGCTAGCTTTTGGTCTCCAGCCTGAGATCTGAAGATATTTTAAGGACAAGTTAGCCAAGTCAGCAGTATTTATTAAAGAAATGTCAGGTTAGAAGAAGTCACAAGCACTTATAAGGGATGAACAGGATTGCTTAGATAGGACTACGGGGATAAAAATTTCACGAGTAAAAAGCACTGCACCAATTCCTAGGGAAAACAAGGAAATACCATTGGTTTAATCTCTAGGTGTGTATTGGGGTACTGGAAATTTTCAGCTGGAAAAAAAAACCTTTTTAAAAAAACCCCACAACTGTGTGTTCTCGATTTACTAGGCTACCAAACAGCATTTCAGATGGGCACATTCTAACCCAAACCTTCAATAAAACTACCTAAATTAGATTGGTTGCATCAGCCATAGGAATATACCTTAACTAGATGATCTAATACCTATTCCTAGTCAAGATTTCCTCCCTCAGGCTTGTACTTCTAAAAACACAAGCGTGATTTACTGGAGGAACATTCCTTAACCATGATGAAACATTATCTTGCACGGGTACAAGCAAGCCAGCTCATGGCAGCGAGTTACTAATACTTAAAGTGGAAATAGAGGTATTTAACAAGCAATCTGTAACCAGTGAATGAGAAAAACTCGAGGCTTTCAGAAAAAGCTTTACCTATCAATACACTGAGCAGCTAGACAAGCTGCAGTTAGTATCTCCTTGATGTGAGTCAGCCAGTTGGAAGCTTCCAGTTTACTGAGCCAGCGGTCCATATTGTGCGACTGGTCATTACAAGCTTCGACAAGTTTGATGAGGCTTTCCTGCAGAATATTAAACCTTTGGGAAAAGCAAAGTATTATGGAAAAATGTAAGTAATAACATAGCAATCAGGACAACATGCTTACAGAAATACATCAATGTCAAAATAAAGCACTACGATTTATATGCAGTTATTTCAACAAGTAGGACCCTATAGAAGTCATGTCTTGTCATTCAGCAATCCTGTTTTCACCAGGAATCCCAAAATACCACTCTTTGGACAGAAGTAATCTCTTCCCTTTCAAAACAAATTGCTTCGTAAAACCTTACAACAGTACAGCCCTTTCCTTATCTTACCTGAACTCTGTGCGTTTAGCCATGCCTTACGTTTTCCATGTAAAATATATTTCAGTAGTCTCACTCCCATTGCCAAATACGAGTGTGATTGTGACCTGGCACAGACACAGCAAGTGTCAGCCAAGCTTCAAGTGCTGCACCTTCACTCTCTGTACTACAACAGACATTTTGGGGGAGTTTTAAACCCGCAGAGCTGCAACAGTAGCCTGAAAGCCATCCATCACAAGAACACAACCCCACTGTAACAGAAAATTTTAAACTAGACTTAACGTCTTAATGTAGAACGACACTAAGATGAGTTTGGCCAATTTCATAGAATGGTTTGGGTTGGAAGGG